ATCGGCCGAACCTCTCCGCCGCCGACACGTCTGGGGGATAGCGCTGACTGGTAAAGCTGGGCTGCCCCCGCTCTCTCCGCTGTGGAGGAGCTATTTTGCTCCTCCGCTTGGACGTCCGTCTGCGTCCACCGACCCCGCACCCGAGTTGGCATGGGATCCGTGGACACTTCCTAGCGTTCCACCACCGTCGTTTGGGTGCTCACACACACCCCAGGCGCATACAGATGTTCCTTCGCCTTTTCCATCCATTCAACTGCCCCCTTAAAATATGCAGGGCTTTAGCCTGGCTAATCGAGAGGGGCACGAAATCTCCCTGACAATTCAGGGAGACCTTCCTTCCATCGGTGACCTTCTTCACCTCTCGACCGATGAAGTTGGACAACCCTTTGGACTTGCCCAGCAAAGTGTTCAAGCCCGACGCGATCCGCCTGATCTCCTCCTCTTTTTTCGGGGTGGTCGTCAATGCCCCCTCGGTGCCGACCCGTGACACCGAGGGTAGCCCGTCGTCCGATGACGACGGGGGATGGGCCGGGACGACACCCTCCCACACCCGCCGGACCCTGGGGCTCCAAGCACCCCTGGGCCAATAATGATCCATCCTTTTTAGGACTCATTCCATCCAAGAATTGTTTTTTTATCGAGGTTGTCTCCTCTAGGCTATTTGATAGCAGGCGCCACCTCGAAGAAAAGTAGAGGGGGATTCTATGGACAATGGGACAAGGAAAAAGGATGGGAGATAGGGAGATATAGGATAGGTAAGGAAAAAAGAATGGGTTGGGTGTTCTCCCACCCGTCACGGCCCCACTGTACCGGGTTTGGAGTCAGGGTTTTCCTTTCCCTATCCGCATTAGGCCAAAGTGCCCGAGGAGGGCGGAATCCCCTCTTCCTCGCCCGGGGAGGGAAGTGCAATGGACGCTCTTAGTAGGGCCCCGCCCGCCCAGGCCGGAACAGCAGCCTATGGCTAACTGAACCGCCCCGGACGACCGGAACCCCTTAAGCCCTTCCACCACGTCAAGGTGGCGTCCGTCGGCAGGGACCCTTTTTTTTTTTTTTTTGATAACGCAGGAGAAATGCTTTATGCATACCATCACCCTCGGGGGAAGAGTGGTGGTTATGCGGGATTCCCGGTCGCGCTAAGTGTTAGCCGACTGGTTTACCCGCTAAAACTCCTGCGATGGCCTCCCGCGCTATGGAGGGGCAGGTAGGGACCTGGGACTCACGCTTGCAATACTTCAGAATCCCCAGCTGTGGGTCCCCTCCGCGCTTACGGCCCGGCGACGTGTGTATTTAGTCGCCGGGTCTCCATCCTGGGGAGAGCGTTATTACTCTCCCCTCCTTCCTCTGTGTGGACAGACGGGGCCACGCAGTCCATCCACCTTCCTCGGGGACCGTACTTAGAGCGCTACAGGCCCCCGCCTGTGACGCTCCGGTCCCGAGGGAGAAAGACAGCCGCCGCGTTAGCGGCGGGTGTCTATTCTCCAGCTGGGGAACTTGCTCTCCAGTTGCTATCCGCCGCACCTTGCGGCTTTATAAAGGAGGCATCTGCCTCCTTAAATATATATCGCTGCCGCGTTCAGCGGCCGCAAAGAGAGGGCTAACAGCCCATCTCCTCGCCATCCCGTTTATCCCGCATATGTGGGGGAGGGATCTTATTGGGGGGCGAACCCATTAGTTGGGGACTTAGTCCCCGGTCTGGTTGTTCGCCCCCATTATGGTCATCTCCTCCTTTGTGGAGGAGAAGACTGCTGTGTCCCTCCCCCGCGGGGGTGACGAGGCCTAAGCCTCCTTATAACGGGAGAGGCGACGGAGCGGGAGGACGATGTCTCGTTTCCGGTCTCCGCGTCCGTCGGGTCTCCTCTATCCTCCTCCTCCTCGCTATCGGTCGCTGCGACGGCAGCAGCCGCCGCAGCCTCTGCCTCCGCCGCCTCCTGGCGGCGGACTCGTTCGGCCGCCTCCTTCTGCAGCATGACTTGCTCACAGAAGGAGGCGACCGCCTTCCACGACCTCTCGCTGCCTAACATCTTAACGATGAGTATCGGCAGCGAGAGGTCCTGGCCGACCTCATTACAGAGATCACGACGCAGCGTATCCCACGCCGGGCAATCCGCCAACGTGTGCTGCGCCGTGTCTCTTCCTTCCCCGCAATGGTGGCAAGCCGTGGTGCTCTCCTTGCCTATACGACACAGGTACTCACCAAAGCAGCCATGCCCGGTGAGCACCTGTGTCATCCTAAATGACACCTCTCCCTGGGCCCTGTCCAGCCACTCGGCTAGACAGGGCCGGACGGCCCCGACAGTCCTGGCACCCGCAGTTGCGGGATCCGTGAGGTGGGCGTCCCACCTCTCGATCATGGACTGCCTGGCTTAGAGCCGGACGATCTTCTTGACCTTGGCTGGCAGTGCTCTGCCCGTCCCCTCCCGGAGTTCCCGCTCGCGCTGATAGATTTCAGCGTACATGTTTGCGAGGAACTCCAGGGGAGGCCATCCTGCCAGGATCATGGCCGCCGCGCCGGACACCGTGCGGTAAGCCCTCGTTACTCTCGCTGCCATGCTTCGTTGTACGCGCCGGAAATTATCCTTTGCGCGTCGCATGGCAACGAGGTTCGCCACCCATATGGGACATCCGTAAAGGGCCACCGAATTAACGGTGCCCATGTAGATGCGGCGAATCCGACCGTCCGGACTTCCAAGGTTTGGCAGGAGCCTGCCAAGTGCCTTGGCAAAGCGCTCCACCTTGGGGGTAAGGGCATCAAAGTGATGCCCAAACTTCCATTGACTGTCCAGTAGGAGACCGAGGTATTTTAGCCGATCTCCTACCAGGATCGAGGTGTCTCCAACCCGAATATGGGTCTCCGGTGGTCGACCTGAGGCTCTGCTATAAAAGTATAGCGCCTGTGTCTTTTTGGCCGCCATCTTGAGACCCATACCGACTATTCCACGTACCACGGCTGCCACCGCCGTTTCGGCCTTGGCCGCCGTATCCCCCCAGCCGTCCCCCACGGCCACCACTAGTGTGTCATCTGCATAACAGATGGCGTGGCAGCCGCGGGGGAGAGGAAGGCAAAGTATCCGGTTATACGCGAGCTTCCACAATAGGGGGCCAAGTACCGACCCCTGTGGAACTCCGCACCGAATTCGCCGTCGGCTCTGGAGTCCGTCCTTCGTGACGAACTCCAGATGCCTGTCCCGGAAGTATTGGCGTATGATGTCCACGAGGTATTTGGGGACTCTTCGCTCCATCAGAGCGTCCTCGACGGTGTCCCAGGGCAGGGTGTTAAAGGCGTTTGCGATGTCTAACGACACCGCCATTGCCATCCTGCCCTCCGTCACTGCGACCTCCGTGAGGGACCTGACGCGTTTTACTGCGTCTACCATAGATCGTCCCTCACGGAAGCCATACTGCTCCTCGTGGAGATCCCCCTCCCGGGACATATGCTGGACGAGTCGGTCAGCTCAAAGATTTTGCCGACCTCGTCCAGCAGGCATATCGGTCTATATGCCGACGGGGTGCCTGCCTCCTTGCCCTCCTTGGGAAGTAGGACCAGCTTGGCCTGCTTCCACTGCTGGGGGAAAGCGCCCTGTCTGAGACACTTGTTAAATAAGTGCCTCAGACGCTCTCCCAGGTAATCCAGGGCCCAGACCCATATCTTTCCGGGCACGCCGTCCGGGCCAGGAGCCTTCCCTGACTTCACCCGTTTGACGGCGCGCCGGAGTTCGTCGTTGGATATTTCCTCGTCCTCCGTAAGCTCATGGGGCCCCTCTATACCGGGACCCCAGTTGAGTGTGGACCCCTCTGCCCCGATTGGGAAGAGGGTGTCCACGACATTCTGGAGGACGGGTGAGTCCAGCGACTCCGTCACCGGGGGCGCCCAATTTCTATACTTGTTAAGTATAATCTTATAAGGACGCCCCCATGGGTCTGTGTTGAGGGACAGTAGTAGTTCGTTCCAACAACTGGCCCTGGATCTCCTGATGGCGGCGCTCAGGCGCGTCTTGCTGCCCTGTAGGCGGCCAAGGCCTCTTCACGTCTCTCCTCGTCTTTCCCTCGGGGAAAACGGGAGAGGGCTCGTCGGGCCTGGACGGAGGAGCGCCTGAGTTGCGCTATCTCCTCCGTCCACCAATAGACGGCCCGACGCGAGCGGGGCGCGGCTACGCGGGGCATGGCAGCGTCACAAACTTGACGCATCGTCCCGCGCAGCCACTCCGCTTCCCGGAGAATGTCTCCATCTCCCTCCGATAGACTCCAGCTGACGGCCATAAGGGCCTCCTCTAGCCGTTCGGGGTCCAACTTCGTGAGGGCCCACTTGGGTGCCCCCCCCCTTTGAGGTGGGTGTTGTACCTGATGGCGCGTAGTATCTAGTGCGTACTCAATATACTGGTTATCCGAGAGGGTTTCCCCCCTCGAATCACCCACCACGCGCCATCCCCGTATCAATCTCTTGGCCCCATCGGAGCCGATCGTTAAGTCTACGATCGACTCCCCTTGGGGCCTGACACATGTGCTCGCCCGGCCTACATTTAAGATGTGTAGGCCGAGCGAATTCACCCACCTCACCAGGGTAACTCCCCTGACGTCCTGCCTCGACTCGCCCCATGCCGGAGACTTTGCGTTAAAGTCTCCGGCTATTATGAGCGGGCTAGTAGGGGGGATGTCTCTTACAACATCCTCCAGCCGCTCAAGGAACGAGTCAAATTGGGCACGACTCCAACTCGGGGGGGCATAGCAGCTAACTGCTATAGTGGGCCCCCACTTAGCCGCCACGAATCCGTCCCCTCTTCCAATCAGCTGGAGAGGGGGGGAATCGTTCGTTGCGGCGCCGATCCCTATTGCCGCCGAACCCCTATTGTCCCTCAGCCAAGTGGCTTTCATTGGGACTTTGTAGGGTTCGACGACAATGGACAACCCGATACCACGCTCAGCCAGGCTTTGAAAGAATAGATTCTGCGCCTGACTGGCGTGGTTAAGGTTGGCCTGGAGGAACTTAACCTTGACCGCCATATCTAAGTTTGGCGGTCAAGTTCCTCCGACTCTGCCTCCATCTGATTGTCCCCCTCACCGTCACTCGGTGGAGGGACTTCCTCGGGCGTTTTGCCCTGCCTCCTCCTGGGAATCCTCTGTTCCAGAGGCTCCACCTCCATCATCCCCTCGTTTGACGTAGAGGGGAGTGGAGGTGCCTCCTCCCGCTTGTACTCTTTTTGAAGAAGGATGAGAGGTTTCTTCTTCTTCTCCTCCTTGGAGGAGTTCGCCTTCCCGGTGCCCTGCTTGTTCTGGGGGGGCTGTATAGCAGCTTCCCCCATCTTCTTTTTCTTGGGCGCTTTACAGATGCGGGAGCCGGCTCTGTGGTCCGCCGGCCTGCCCATGTCGGCACACACCGGGCAGTGCACTTGTAGCGTGCACTCCCGGGCTATGTGTCCAGGGCCCCCGCACCTGTAACAATCTTTGCTGCGGTCTTTGTCGCCGCAGCATTGGGCCTTTACGTGGCCCTTCTCCATACAACGGAAGCACTGGAGTGGCCTTTTCTCCAGCGCTTCCACTCGGGTGTTTACCCACCCTATCCGCAGCCTTTTTGCGGCAACTAGCCTATTGGCTGCGGCAAGTGGGCAGCGCACCCAAACTGTGCTAAGACCTCTGCCGGTGGATTTAACAAGTCTCACCTTGACCAGGATGGGATCACATTCACCGGCAGAGGCCACTGCGCGCAGCACGTCCTCCTCCTCGATGTCCTCGGTGAGGTCGCGGATGCGTAACTCCGCCGTAGGACAGGGGCGGGAAATCCTCACCCCTCCTTATCCGCGAGGACTTCACGCATCTTGGCAGCCAGGGCATCCGCCTTGACCTTGTTGTCCGGGCCCCCAACCTCGAATAGTTGGGCACCCGTGATGGCCTTTCTCGCTTCCAAGCCGTCAATGTTGAGACTGGCAAGGTCTATCTTGTCCATTGCCAGTCTCAATGTCTCCTTGAGAGCGCCAGGTGGACACGACAGGACCACCGCGGCCGTTCGGGGGACTCTCCTTCGTCCTTTCTTTTTTCCCCCACCAGGCGGGGGAGAAATCCCGGACGCCGCTGTCTTAGGCGGAGGGGCTGGTGCCGCAGCGGCACGATTGCCTCCCGCCTTGGTGGCCTTGCGGGTTTTTCGCCCGACCACCTTTGTCCACTCCTCCTTTTCTCCCGTTGACGGGGGAGGCGGAGGAGTGGACTGTGTGAAAACGAGGCTTTTTCCCGTTTTAACGGGTAGAGGTCTCTCCCCTCTTGTGGCAGCGGAGGACTTCGTTTGTACTCCGGCCGGGCCCCGCTGACTCCCTTGGGATTTGGAGGAAGCTCTTCCTTTTTCCCCTGGAGTCGCCCGTGTTCCGGTTGCGAGTGGATCTTGTCCTCCGCCCGCCTTCCCTTTCTTCTTTTTCTTGCTGTCTCCGCTTGTTCCCTCTGTCTTTTCGGAGGGAATTACGGAGACAGCCCTGTTCTGGTCCCGCCCTTTCACCCCTTGAGGGTTGAAGGCTTTAGCCTCTTTCCCGATGACGGGGGGAGGGAGGGACGGGACTGGAGTGGTTTTAACTGACACAGGCTTAGTCCTGGAGAGCCTCAGCGTCTCCATCTGTGTCATAATGGGGTCCAGAAGTGCCAAGACTGCATCCTTCTGGTCCATTAATTTGTTAAATTCTGCCCTTGCCTCCTCAGGCATACCGGGGGGGAACGCTTCCAATGGGCGTGGCACCCCCTTGAGCGGTGGCCCCGTCTGTCTGACGGGGCCTTTCTTCCTCAGCGGGGGAAACTCTTTTTCCCCCAGATCAATGACCCCCTCTGTCTTTTCCTTCCTAGATGGGAGGGAGGTGGGTTCAACCTCAGGATCTCTCGTTTGGAGATGGGGAGGAGATCCAGTGTCCATCTCCTCTTCCTCTCACTCGACTCTCTCGTCGAGGAATGGCGAGAGGCTGGAGGGGGAGGAGGAGGAGCGTTCTTCATGCGCTTTATTTCCCTCCTCAGCTCCCTGTTCTCCTCTCGGAGTTTGTAGAGCTCCTCTCGGAACTTTTTGAGTTCCGTTTTCTCGCCTTCGTGAATCCTCCTTGTCATTACAGACGTGGCAGCTCGAAGCAGTGCGACGCTGTCCTTCACCTGCTTGACGAGCGTTCCTTTCATCCTATTGGAGCAGTCCGCCACCTTAAAAAGGATGGCGGAATGCTCAAGTAGTTGCGCCGCGATCACTTCCGTCGGCTCCTGTTGGAGGGTGTCCTCCACTTCCTCCTCTTGTTCGAGGAGTTTCCGCCACCTCGCGGATTTGATTGGGGATCCGGCTTGAGCGCCTCTGCCGCTCTCCTCTCCCTCTCTTTCTCCTTCTTACGACGCGCGGCCTCCTCTTCTTTTAGGCGTTCACGCGCCTCCGCTTGCTCCGCAACCATGTTTTCCGCCACCAAGCTGGTGACGGAAATGTTGTCATCCTCGGCGGGTTCACGGGTCTCCTCCCCGTCGATGGAGTCGATGTCGATGGATTTCTCCTCATAGTCCGGAGCGCTCTCCTTCTCGAGCCAGGCGTGGTTCACACCCGACGTGCGCGCAGAGATGTCTTCTCGCGCTGTTGGCCTGGCCTCGCTTCTGCTAGCACTTGCTGGGGAGGGAGTACGCCCCATCCCGCTTGTGCTCGGAAGCGGATTCTCTGCCGTGCCCAATGTTATCGACGGGCGAAACAGAGGGAGTTGGAAGTTGGCGTCTTCGATCTTCTTGACGACCAACTTCTCCATCCTTACGACAGGCTGTTTGTCGACAGAGGCAAACCTCTCACCGTTGCTCTTGTACGGTTCCTGCCGTGTATTGCGACGCGATGACCTGCGCGCAACTATCCCAGACCGTTCACCGGGTAACGAGCGCGTCGAAGAGGAGGACCTTGATCTGGTCTGCTCCCGTGCTCTCTCTCCCTTCTCGTTATTGCTTTTTGTTATTGTTTTTGTTTTTGTTTGTGGGTTTTTGTTGTGTATCCATTTTTGGTTTTATCCCACTGTCCCCTAACGGCTCTGTCGACCGGGTGTACCCTCACCCCCGCCGCGAGTGTCCCGAAATATGACCGGCCACACTCACGACGGGGGGCCCCGAGTTCCCCCGGGGGGTCGACATATGCCACTTGCCGGCGGCCATAGGCAGCGCCGGCACAGGACTCCAGCCCCCTACTTACCCGTGGGAGTTTTGACGCTCCCACGGGATTTCAGGGGTTCTGCGCCTCCGACCACGCAGACACCGTCAGGGGCGGCGCCACCCGGGGGGCCCCACGGACGGTTGGGACGGGGCAGCCGCTCCCCTACCCCGCCTTACCCGCCGTGGCGACCAGCACGCCCCCACACCGGACTGGTCGGATCTGGGGGGGCAAGCGCCGTCCCGGTGGTTGCCGCTTCGGAAGGGGAAACGGTCGCGGACAACCACCGGGTACTCAACATCGTCGCCGCCGGATCCCGACCTCCGAATACGTCGGAGCGGCTCCGGCAGCAGGCGGCGACAGGGGACGAGGGAGAGATTTCTCCCCCGCCAGGAGACCTAGTCGCCGTCATCCCCGTCGCACCGACCCCGCCTCGGAAACGTCCGAGCGGCTCGATGCGACTCGGGCCGGCAGTCCGGACAAGTCCGGTCACCCGGATATCTCCGGGTGAGTCAATCTGCCGACCCGTCCCCTCCTCCTACTTGGCGCGTATCCCGGGGTCACACCCCGGGCCGTTTGCCAAGCGGTGGGAGGCGACTACCCCCTTGCGGGACGCCGCTTCCACCCCTCACCGGAGGGCCACCCATACTTGGATGACACCCCGGATCGGAGTGGACCGGCCACCGCATCCCCCCCAGGGATCACGGGCTAGCCCCGAGATCCCTTTTTGTGGGATGCCGGAAGTACCCCATGCCAGGACGCGCACTCACACCGCAGATTGCGAGGAGAATGCCGCCCCCAGACACAAGGCACCCCGGCACTCACATCCCCCCCTGAGGGACGCTACCTGGCAGGAGCACCCAGCACGCAGCACCCTCACACCCCGCGGGAGCACCCGCAAAGTGCATGGAGGGAGGATAGAAATCCTCCCCTATCGGCTCCGTGCAGCCGGGGTTTGTAGTCGGGTCTCCTTACCCTACCGACATTGGGTCTCAATGACCCTTCGAAGACAGACTGTCCCCTGGGCAAAGCCGGGTGCCCTGGTATGCTCTTAGCGAGTGATCCTCCCCGCCGGCCCTCCCAAGGGTTGAACCCTCGGTACTACCACAGCGGATCGTTGGATCACCCGTCGGAAGGGACCCTAACTAACCTAACCTTTTTTTTTTAGAGAGGAGAAAATGCAGTGACGCACCCCCTGGTCCCCGTAGACCAGGGGGGTGTGGGACTCGGCCTATTTAACGGCCCCTACCCACTAAAACCCCTCTCTGTACGTTCCTCCTCAAAGGCTCGCTCCCCAGACAGTACCCACTTTGGCATGAATTGCCCGGGGAGCTGTCGCCGAGGTAGGTCTGAGGGACCCTCATCCTTCCGCGTGTTCTCTGTAAGTCCAGTCCGGTTGTGTGTGTGTGTATATGTATGTGTGTGTGTGTGTGTGTATATGCGTGTGCATGAGTGTGTGTGTGTGCGACGGACAGGCGCTAGTTACGCCAAGACGCGCCCAGCACCCGCCCGCGGAGACGGTCATGCACCCCGCCAGGCGCACCCCCGCGCGCCCCGCCGCCGCCCACCCAATAAATAAATAGGCGTGCGACGACGGCGCGCCCGCCGTATAAGTAAATGAATAAATGATAAATGAATGAATGAATGAATGAGTGAGTGAAGAAATGAATGAATGAATGGATGAATGAATGAATGACCCTACCCTATCCCACCCCTAAACCCCATTCCCACCCCTCCTTTCTCCCACTCCTACCCAACCACCCTCCATTATGAGTGTAGATGTGTGTATAAGTGTAAGTGTGTGAATATGTGTTCGTGTCTCAGTGTCCCTTTCTCCCACCCCCTTTCCCTAACCCTACCCCCAAACCACTCCTTCCCCTTCCCAACCACCCTCCATGTGTATCCCCCCCTGTACCCGTATGAATGTCATAGTGTGTTCGTGTTTGATGTGTTTAATGTTTGGGCTATCTATGAGTGAATAAGTAAATTAAATTAGTCGTCATAGCCAATGTAAATGAATGTTTAAATTTCTCCACCTCCATCTCTCATCTACCGCTGCTCTCGAGCCCGTTCGTCATCCTCTTTGGCAAGCATCACTTTTTCTGAAAAATTGCCTCCCCATTCTCATCCGACTCCAAGATTTTCGGGATGATTGAGGCCATTGATAGATCTTGGTCTACTATGGAACGTAGCACTTCTCTCTCATCGTCCCACATCACACACCTCTGTAATGTGTGGTCCGGGGAGTCGTCTTTTTCCTCACAAAAGGGACACAGCGCAGAGTCCACTTTACCAATCCTATAGAGATATGTAAAAAAAAAAAAAAACCATGTCCAGATAAAAGTTGTGTCATGTGGAACGTCAGTTCACCGTGATTCCTAATTAACCACTGATTTAAGTGGGGAGCAATGGCAAGACATGTTCTTGCACCAGCCACATCTTGTCTTTGTAAAGTAATTTGCCATTGCCTCTTCAACAGTATCTCTTCATCTTCCTTGATGTCTTTCTCTTCTGACTTTTTCCACAGCTCTTGTCGCTTCAAATCATGAACTCGAAGGAACACTCGTCGGAAATATGCTGCATGTATATCTGTTGGAATGACTCTTGCTAAGATGAGAGCAGCATCGGTGGATATAGTGCGATAGCCAGCAATCACGCGTATCGCTATGACTCGTTGCATTCGACGTAACTTTTCACGGATCTTCTTATCGGAAGTCTCAGGACTCCAAATGGGGGCACCATAGTTAATGATGGAACAAATAACGTGCGCATATAGTCTTCTCTGTTTCTCACATGGACCTTTTAAGTTTGGCATTATCGCACAAAGGGCACGAGTGACACTTGCAACTTTTCCTTCCACATAATTGAAGTGCTCTGTAAACTTCCATCGTCTGTCCAACAACAATCCGAGATATTTGATCGTTGGAGTGATCTTGACCATTTCGCGGTTAACTCTCATTCTATAATTGTTATAGTCTCTATCCATTATCTTTAGTGTTAAATATAATAATTCCTGTTTTATTAGCCGCTATATTTAAGTCTAATCTTCTAATTCTCAGTAGTAGTGTATCGACTTGCAACATAGCCTTAGCAATAGCGATTTGTGTAGACTCTGCACGTGACAAAATTAGCGTATCGTCGGCGTATCCAATTATTACGCATCCATTTTCAACTGGAGTCCGAAGTACCCAGTCAAGTTATGTTCCACAGGGTCGGTCCGAGGACCGAATTGTTCTGGTATGCGTTGTACCTTCAGCCGTGGGATATTCTATTTGTCTTTCCGAGAGATAGCTATCAATCAGTCGTCGTAAATATAAAGGAAATCCTTTGTCCCGAAGGCTCTTCTGATGCAGCTCCAATGCAAAGAGTTGAATGCATTTGTAATGTCGAGACTAACTTCAACAACCACTTCGTGATCCACACGTGCGTCCAAGATATATTCGCGAACCACCAGCAACGCATCACAAGTTGATGTACACCGACGAAAGCCGAACTGGTTGGCTGCTAACTTCGATTCCGGGTGTAAGTCCATCCAATACTGTAGCCTGGCCTCAATCACACGCTCGAGCATCTTACCGAGCTCACTTAAAAGGCAGATTGGGCGCACCTTCGGGATAGGAAGATTTAATTCTCCCTTCGGAATAAGAATTAGTATGGATTTCTTCCAGATCTTCGGGAAAGTATCAGATCGCAGGCACATGTTGTATGCTCCACCCAACATCCTCAGGAAGGTCTCGGGTAGATGTTTCAAGATCGATTTAATTCCGTCGATTCCTGGAGCCTTGTTTGCACCTGCTTTCTTTTTTATAACATAATTCCGTAATATCCACTTCGTATTCCGGTAGCCAAGGTTCTTGTTCATGGTCGTCCACTGTATCCTTCTGCCAGTCTTCGTCTTCCGGAAACAGACTACTTATTAGCTGGTCGAGGGTATCCAAAGCTACAGTCTCCGTAAAGTTCGGACTGCTTCTTCTTAGCTTTTTGAGGACAATCTGGTAGGGCAGACCCCAAGGGTCCTGCGCTATTGTTCCGATAAGATCATTCCATGCCTGTATCTTAGATCTTTTAATCTCGATATTTAACTCTTTTTTGCACGATCTGTAAATATCTTCTTTTTCCAGGATGTTATCGATGATTCTTCGGCGTTTTTCCTTCTGCCATTTCCTGCGCGCTCGCATACAAGATTTCCTCAGATCAGCAATTCTATCAGTCCATCAGTACGCGCCTTCTTTGCGTACCTGCGGGACTTTCGGCATCGAGTAATTACAGGCATCCGTAAGTGAATCTGTAATCCAATGTGACAATTCATTGGCATCCAAATCAGGGGAGTGTCCTATACAGCTCCATTCGAGAGCTTCTTTAAAGCATGCATCATTTAACTTTTTATGTGCCCAACGGACATATTTCTTCTTTTTACGTCGATTTAGTAATGTCCGGTCGTCGACATCAATTGCAAAAGAGATGTATGCGTGATCAGATAACGATTCAAAATCCATTACTTTCCAGTTAATCACTCGCGATCCAATGGAGGCACTGCACAAAGTAATGTCCACAATTGAAGATCCTTGCGCTCTCACACACGTAGGTTCATTGCCAACATTAGCAACTTGTAAGTTTCTGCTAGCGGACCATCTCTCTAAACGATCTCCACGGGAGTTTGTGTGTGTACAACCCCAGAGTGAGGATTTAGAGTTAAAATCACCTCCGATGATTATGTGTTGAGAGTCTGTAGCCGCAATATTGTCGTCTAACTCGTCCAAAAATTCTTCATATTCTCCATCATCAGCATTTGGAGATATATAACAGGAGATGAGCGTCACATCTCTCCATTGTGCCATAATTGAGAATCGTTCCTGTTTTTTAAATAAGCAAGAGCCAAACTGGTCATTCGCATTCCAATGGATACCTGCGGTGCCGTTGCTACTAGCACTCCGTAGATTATCTGTTGGAATCCTATTTGGCTCGAAATTAGGGATATATGTTGATATTGTACTTTTTCAGTATGAAGGAGTAAATCCTGCGCGGCTTTACAGTTATTTAGATTAATTTGAAGTAGTCTTAACATTAATGTAAATATTTATGTACATAGTGACTAGGATAATTACTTGTATATATGTATATATGTAGATAATACATATACAAGCCTCTCCAGTCTACACAGTATCCATAGACTCCTCCGTCCTCCGCGCAGAGTCGTCAGCACTGTCTGTAGTAACAGTTATATCATGAATCGAATCGCCAGTAGTTTCTTTGGATGGAATCTCATCTGCCTCTTTTTCCGAATTACCTCTTGAAGAGTAAGGGGTCTTAACTCCTTGACAGTCAACTGATCCTACTCAGTGTCGATCATTTAAATGTAATTCAGAGCACAAAAGGCATCTCGGCTTATTCTTACAGTTTGGGACTTTATGTCCAGATACACCGCAACGATAGCAGATGCCAGCATAATCTTTTTTGGACTTACACGTAGCTCTAACGTGTCCCAATCGCCAACATCTATGACACTGTATTGCCCGTGACGACAAGAGTTCTACTTTAACTCTAGTCCAACCTATTTGGATCTTTTTCTTTTCTGCTAACACCACTGCAGCTGCTCTGGGACATTGTACCCAAACCATTCCTTCTCTGGCACGGTTGACGCCTATTTTACCCAATTTAATTGTGCTCTCTTCACAAGATCCTTCAAGGCAACCGTCCTGCGAATCTCATCAGTAGTAATAGACTCGTCCAATCCAGAAAGTTTGAGTTCGCCCTTGATGCAAGGTCTGGAGATCAAAGCTTCTCTGGCTAACATTTTCTGCATCTCATTTGCCAGGCGATTAGCTTTCTCCTCATTTTCTGGTCCAGATATCTCAATGATGGTTATACCACTGATACCTTTTCGAATTCTAGGATTTTGTATGTCTAAGTCCTTTAGAGATATATTTGCCCGTACTTTCTGTAGAGCCTCAGCATAGGAGAATTCTTCTTTGCATCCCTTGATGCTAATTGTTGCTGTCTTAGGGATTCTCTTCTTTTCCCTAAGGATCTTCTTTGTTTTCTGCTGTGTCTCTGTTCGAACAGGTTTACCTTTCTTACCAATTGTAAACCATTCCTGAGGTTGAGGCGCCTGGCCAGGAAGTTGAGGCCTCAATTTATCACTGTCCATAGGTGATTTGTATTTCTGAAGAACCTTGGCGTATGACTCCGGCCATGGTAATCGTGGACCGCCAGGAGGAATTATCTGTACGTTGCCTTTCAGTTTAATTCCTTTCTTCACGGTAGGTCTTGTCTCAGTCTCCATAGGAACGGGTTCTGTAGATAGGGTGTCTTTACTAGTCGATGGAAGACTTTCAATTTCTCTATTATCTCCAAAGGCAAAGCTCACTTTCCTCTTTTTACTTGCAGGTGACCAAGACTCACCGGTGGTTGGCCATTGTCTACAGTATTGAGGATCATCCGTCCTCATCTCGATGGGTCGGCCAGGTGAAGGTCGACCAGGTGAAGGTCTTTGGGGCTTTGGGGTTTCTTTAAATAAATTATCCTCATTTGTAGATAAGTCCTCCTCCTTTGTAAATAAGTTCTCTTTTTCTTTCTTTGTAAATACATCTTCTTTCTTTGTAAATACATCTTCTTTCCTTGTAAATACATTCTCCTTCCGTGTAAATATATCTTCTCTTTTTGTAGATAAGTTTCCTTTCTTCAAGTTACTTAATGTAGAGGAATTTCTATCTAATCTACTGGATACACTTGGTGCTGCTTTAGAGAATCTTGGTGAGATCCTCTTCTCGCTTTCTCTGTCTATACTTTCTCGTATCTGAGTTAGTTCCCTCTTGAGTCTATCATTCATTCCTCTAATTTCGTCTCTAAGTTCGCTGTTTGCTCTTTTAATTTCTCTATTTTCGCGACGAATTTCTTCCCTTTCTTTTTTCAACTCCTGAATTCTTTCTTGGAGTTCGCTGTACTCCCTCTTCCTTCTCTCTTCTTCTCTATCTCTTTCTTTCTTAATTTCTCTCATTTCTTCCAATAATTCACCTATCTTCGCCTGTAAGGTGAGAGGATCTCCAGTAGCTTCCGCTTGTACCTGTAGGGCTCTTATAAGTTCTTCCAAGCCGCAAAGTCTTTTGCGGAGCTCTCCGCTGAGTCCACCTTGGATTTTCCCACATTTCGTGCGTATCATCTCGATACTTGCAGTGTATTCCAGTGCCTGGGCGCCGATTTCCGAAGGAGTCATGGCATTTAGGACTTCATCTCCAATATTCTCTGGTGCAAGCCCCGTCTGCTTTAATATTTCTTGCTCTGCCCTAATTGGATCGATAGCCTTCGGTTTACGTCGAGGTCTTCCGACCTTGCCTCGTCTTTCGTCCCGTTCAGTCCCGGACTTGGCACTTTCCGGATTAAAGCAAGTAAGGATTTCGCAGTCCTTCGATGTGGTTTTAAGATCCAGGACATCGGCTGGGATTCTCTTCTTCGGAACTCGTGGCCTTAGATTTGTTCTGGATACTTCAAAGATCGGAGGGCCATCATTTGACGCCAGAGTCAATACTCCATTTCTTCTTCCTTTTGGAAGCTACTCGAGCAGATGGACCATCGTCGTCTTCTGCATTTATCGGAGCGATGGAATTTGTCTCCTCTCCCTCAACTATCTGCACCCAGCTATCTGGAGCCAGCAAGGACGCCTCGCTCAGGCTAGAAGCCTGTAAAATGTCGCCAGGACTCTTGGGCATGGCGATCTCAGTAGGGGAACCTAACCTAACCTTTTTTTTTTTTTATAAGGGGAAATGCATTTACGCATCCCCCGCCAAGTGGAATTGGCGGGGGGTATGCAAAACTCTGGGATAAATCCCGACTACCCGCTAAAACCCCTTGGTGGTCTCCTTCAACGCATAATGGGGAGGGCCACGGGAACGCTTGCGCATGCAGCCGCGAGCCCCCCCCAGGCACACGGTGACCCCTTCCTTCGTGAAAAGGAAGGGATCCCCTCCGTGTTTGGGCGATGTTTGCCCTAACGGTTGGCAGGGCGAGTCACTTAACCCTGCCACCCCTCGACCCTCGGGCAGCAAATGGAGCCCCGGTTTCCATCCCGGGACCCCGCTGTCCTGTGGGCGGAGTGTGTAAGAGAGGGAGAACAAGTCCCCCCCCAAAACAACACCCCCCCACGCCCAGAGGGCAAGCCCCCCCACCGCCCACCGCCACAAACAGAGCACGGCAGACCCGACGGACTCAATGCCCCCGGAGGGGACCCATGGACAGGCCAATGTCCCTCAATGACCCCCGCGTTCGTCCTGAGGCGCCCCAAGGGGGAGAGGTGGTGGTTTCCTGCCACCCCAGTCCTCCCCCCGGGATTCGCCAAGGGAACGGGTAGTGTGGGGGGAGGAGACCCCGGCTCTGTCCCGTTCAGAGCGCGGGCACCCCTACCCCGAACCCAAGGCTAGGACTACTAGCGGGGAACTCATTGACCCGTCACGGCCAATCGCCAGATCCCCAGGGACACCGGCCCCGAGCCCGCCGCGCACTGCCAGCAACGGCGGGTGACGGAGGGACCCGCCCTCCCTCTGGCAACCGACCCCTTCGAGATCTACGAGGAGTCGGCGCACCCTCCATACGCGTGCTCAGAAGGCCGGGCAAGTCCGTGGCACGCCCTCTTTCTTCGTGGTCAAGGCCACGGAGCCACGTGAGCGGTATTACGCTCCCTCAATTTGCGCCGCCACAGACAAGCCCGCCGCACGCCCTCCTTACGCGGCCGAGGCCGCTTGAGCGGTAACCGCTCTCTCCGCGCGCACGCTCCATCGTAACAGGAATATGTTCGGGGTCTGTTGCGCGCGCGATGGGCACTCTTAGGTCACCGCCCCCCCCCCCCAGGCCGAAACAGCAGTCAAAGGCTAACTGAGTCGCCCCAGGGGACCGAGAACGGCTTAAGCTCCCCCACCACGACAAGGTGGTGCCCACGGGGGAGAACCAAACCTTTTTTTTTTTTTTTAACGACGGGGAAAATGCATTACGCACACCTCCTAGTGCATTCGGCGCACTGGGGAGTAGTGTTGGACTCCCCGGCCCTTAGGAGAGAGCTAACCCCGCTCCAAGGAGTGCAGTGCCGGGTATACCAACTAAAAACCCCTGTCGTGCAGCCACCCGTGCTGCTCGCCCAGCCCCGGGTCTCCGCGGGGGCAATACCCCGAGACCGGGCATGGCTCGGGCCATTTAAGGCCCCCTCCGCGCGGCGCCGATTATCGGGTGCCGGCTTGGCCCAGCTTACGTCAGGCCGCAATCTCCTCCGCCAGCTCTACGTCGGGAGGCCGTCTCCGACGACGTGTCCGGCCACACGCCGCAGGGGGGAGAGATTTCCCCCCTCGCTTCTGGTCTACGCCAGGAGCACTCCCGGGGGCAACTGCCCCTGAGGCCTCTGCCTCAGGCGGGGAGCCCTTTCGGCGCCCCCGCTTTTTCCCAGGGGATAGGCTCCGCCTTCAACCCCCCATGGTGACGCCGCAGGAGACCCCCGCTTATCGCCCCTATCCGACCTCCTGTCGGGAATGGGACTGCGGGAGGCCCTGCAATGGCGTCGGAGATGGGCGGGGGAGCCACAACGGTAGCATACCCCTCGCCAATCTCGACCGCCGCACAGGCGCGCGGTGTGATCCACCGCGCGGCACCTAAAGCATCCCTCGGGTCTGGTTGCCGTCTTAACGGCCGAACAGCTCACATCTGAATGTACTCCTGCAGTACAAGGAATGCTACCTAGTATAACTTTAGGACTGAATAAAGTTCCTGAGGAACATCAGATGGATTGTCTTATATCTATTATTTCCTGCATTAATACATTTGTTAGAAAAGACTGAGAATTAAGGAAATACAACGTGTTACCTGAGATAAGGTATGTTATATATTAATATTTGTGATTATTTACTCTTATAATTAAAATTTTTATGTTAATGCTACGTTATTAAATCTTATAACAGATAAGAGTATGTTTAAAATTTTTTTATTTAAGTTTAAAACTTAAACTAATATAAATGTGTATGCAATTTAAATTTAGCAGCAATGTTCTTTTTACAGATTTAGATATGAAACAGCCTGTGATAAGTCTGATAATAAAACTACAACTCGTGAAAGACTGATAATAAAACTAAAACTCATCCTATGCCAAAGTTAAAGTTTTAACTTTTATATTTTACATAACCTTTTATTTTTAAATCAAAGTAATTTAATTTAAATTGTGACGACACCGTCGTCGTCACTGTATATATATATATTTATTGTTCATTCGTTTCTTGTTCTATTGTTTATTCGTTTATTCAGTTCATATTATTTATACGGTTTATATTGTTCCTATGTTCATAAAATAAAAGACTTTAACTGTAACAGTTGCCCGCGAGTATATTCCTTACTCGACGCCTCTGGCACCCACTTGCGATTCCGCCTATGGGCTCCCCCCCCCCACCTAGTCTCACTCCTTCCTCGACGCACGCGAGCGTGGGGGACCCTCGAGCCGTATAAAAGCCGGCCCACGCAACAGACCGATACCTTATTCCTTTCCAGCTTCCGACCTGTTCTAAACCTCAAGGAATAACCGAGGCAGTCTTGAATCCTGACCGTTCCTGCCGACGGAGACGGGCGTGACCTCTCCGCCGCCTGGGTTTGCCCGGCATTCGGCTTCCTAACCGTTCCTGCCGACGGAGACGGGCGTGACCTCTCCGCCGCCTGGGTTTGCCCGGCATTCGGCTTCCTGACTGTTCCCGCCGACGGAGACGGGTGTGACCTCTTCGCCGCCTGGGTTTGCCCGGCACTCGGCTTCCTGACCGTGCACGCCGACGGAGACGGGTCTGACCTCTCCGCAGCCTGGGTTTGCCCGGCACTCGGCCTCCGCGCACCGCCGTACGGTGACCTCCGCAATCGCGACGCGCTCGCCGAAACCGCGACCGACCGTCTAGGCTAAGTTTATTGTAATCGTCCGTAGGTTAAGCTAGAAGGATAATTACTTGCGCACCGTCGTAGGCTAAGCTCGCGTAATATTAAGTTAGTTATAATCACCGCGTAGGATAAGATCTAGCATAAGATATTTACCAATAAAGGCTTGTTTATTACTGATAGAGGAATCGTAAGCTTGACTCTCCTACCTACTCCCGAATCTTGGCACCGGCGAGCCAGTCCGTGACGAACGGGATAGGCCGTACCGTTACAAAATGAGCATTAATAAATTTTATTTTATTTTATCTTACTTTATTTTATTTTATTTTATATAAAAATTAGAAAACGTTTATTAAGAAATTAGAAAACATATGAAATATTATGATTTGTTTTGAGATTAAGTGTTATGTTCTTATAAATTTATATATGTGACAAAATATAAGTAATAAAAAATCTTTCAGGATTTAACTTTGTTTTAATTACCAGCCTGTTTATTAAAACATCATATATATATATATATATATATATATATATATATATATATACACTGCGACGCTTTTCTGTTTCTTTATTCTAATTTTTAATCGGATATAACGCCGTCAAACACAGGATGAATATAAGATTTCCGCGCTCGGAGGATGAAGGGATGAAGGGTGCTCGCGCGGGCCGCGGCGATATCTCGATAGGTTGGGCGCCAGATGCGGTCTTTCACGCATTAGTTTTCCACGAAATTTTTAAACAGCGCGAAAGATGATGGCCTGCTTCGCCACGGGCTGACTAGCTCGCCTAACGGTAGAGGGGAGGGGTTCTTAGAGCGAGTCACTTAATTATGCGGAGATTTCAATAATTCGAATTGCGAGAGACACAGAAACGGGTATCGACGACCACAGGGGACTAATATTCAAATAAATCACGCGAATTTAACCAGACAATATAACAGATTTATTAATAGAAAAATAATAAATAAGAGAAAAATATAAAAGTCCAATCGAAGGACAAATCAGATTGAAACGAGGTTCACAATACTTCGATTAAAGACAAGCAAATGAAATATAAAATACAATTAAAAATAACAGGAATAATGAGACGTGATTCACAGCAAATGTTCGCTTGAGATAACTAATCGAAAAGAAAGCTAAGACTGTATAATAATGGTAAACAGAGTCAAATGCGCCAGGCTTTATAATTACGGTCAACTCGAATGCTCTATTGTTACGGAGAATAGCGATAAGCGCACCGAATATTACAATTACTGAGAACCGTAAGAAGTGCGCGAGCTCTTGCAATTACGGAGAACGGAAAGAAGCGCGCGAGCGCTTACGATTTCGGAGAACCGAACGAGGCGCGCTACGAGTATGAAAAACAGAACGAAATACGAGATCTTAAAATTATCGAAAAGGAAATGACAGTTAATATTTTATATTATTTAATTGCCGTAACAGAAATAACACCAAGACGAGGTAACCTACCGAAAAAACGGCAATATCTAGTTAATCGGAACGCGGAATTCGCGTAACGCAACGATAAGGCATTCCCGCTGGTGCACACACGGCACGGCGGGTGTCGATAGCTTACGCCTCCGACAACCGATTGTTCGCACGTCCGCGGTCAGCGGACTGCGAGTCGCAAGAAAAAGAGAACGCACGTAGAGAGAGATGGCCGAGAATCGAGGCTCCCTTAAGTCGTATAACTTCCGGTCCGCTGTCACAATTTCCAAGGTACTCACCAATTGGCAGCTCAAGCTGTCGCGGAACTTTTCCCCTGGGGTGGCGGTCGACAGCACTTACAATCGGTCGGAGTCGCTCCGACCGGCGATAGCCTC